ACCAGGCCCAATGTGCTTGCTTGAAACCATATAAAGATATTTTTAATTGGCAAATATGATTTGGATAATTTGAGCTCATAAATCCAAGAGGTTGTTCTATAAATACAGGCTCCTTAAGAAAACCATGCAGGAAAACATTTTTCACATCAAGCTGTTTGATATGCCAGTGACTCACAGTAGATATGGTGAGTACAATCTGAATACTATCAGATTTAATAACATGATTAAATGTTTAAGAGAAATTAATTCCGACAATCTGATTGCATCCTTTAGTAACTAGTCAGGTCTTAAGTCTCTCTAGACTTCCATCAGACTTTAATTTAATCCTATAGACCCAATGATAACCAACAACATTCATACCTAGAAGACATGGAACCAGCTACTAAGTTGAATTACCATGTAGGGCTTCAATTTCTTCTTCTATCTCATGATGCTAACCTAGATGACGCAAGACAGACTTAATAGTTTTAAGCCCTAAAGGGATAGCTTCAAAAGTAGGAGTATTTGAAATCACTGCCATAGAGGGGAGAATCCGAGGTCTTCGAGTACCATCTTGAGATCTTGTTATCATGTGATGATGATAATGCACAAAGGTTGGTAAAAAATTCGATTAGTTAGTTTTATTAGTGGCAACATGTTCATCGTCATGATTGTGTGTTACATTATCTTGGACATCTTGGATTGGTGTTGCAGTAATCATATCTTCCACTACAAGAGAAGTTGGAAGACTATCATTGATGATGGGCAAAGTAGGACCTGAAGAGTCATATACATCAAGGACGTCTTACATAGGTAGTTTATATGGAGGTGATGAATCAGAAGAGTAAGGAGTTTGTATATCAGACTCATAACAATCTGATCAATCTGCATAGGTGGATAGCTTCCTCTGAACATGTGCACTATCAAACAAAAAATTGGGGTTAAATATTTTCATTAAATACAACATATCTAGAGATATAAAATCGACCTGTGGGTGGATGTAGACATCTGAAGCCCTTATGTTGGATACTATAGCCCAAGAATATACATGGAAGAAAGCGGAGACTAAATTCGTTTGCATCATAGTCTCGAAGATATGGAAACACCAACAACCAAACACTCGAAGAGAGGAGTAGTTTGGTGACTGTTCAAACACTAGTGAGTATGGTGAATCCATCTTTAAATTGGTAGAGGGAATTCTATTGATAACAAATACTATAGTGTGAAATGCTTCAACCTAAAAACGTTTAGAAATTCCTACATGAAACATCATTGCAAGGCCAAATTCTACAATACTTCTATGTTTCCTTTTAGCTATTCCATTTTGCTCAGGGGTTCCCGGACATGATAATTGTTGCATGATTCCATTGGTTATTAAGATGAGCAATAAATTCTTTCTAAGCAAATTCACCACCTCCATCACATTGAAAAACTCGAATTCTTTTATCAAACCTCCTTTCAACCATGCGATGAAATTTCATAAATACAACGAAAAATTCAAATTTTTGTTTCAAAGGATAAATCCAAGTAAAATGAATATAATCATCAACAAACACCACGTAAAATTGATAAATCTGTTTAGATAAAATTGGAATAGGACCACATAAGTTTGAATGAATCTTAAAGAGAGATTCAATAGAGGTTTT